TTGGTCAAATGACAAGCATGAAATGTAATCTTTCCTATAAGGGCTCATGTTGGGCTTTTGTTTGAAAAAATTTTTTCCTTTGATTTAGTTAAACAACAGCTGTGAAAGATTAACACAATTTTCATTGGAAAATTTCCAACAATGATTCTGGTGAAATACTTTTGCTTAAAATACTATTCATCAACAAAAAGTTTAACCTTAACCCTTTAACTCCCAGATGTAATTATCATGTAACTTCTCCACACTGCTAATCATAATACTCTTGTCTTCTATCTTAAGCTTAAACATCTGATGACAGAGCTGGAAGAATCTCAGAAGGAAGTAGCCAAGTTAACACACATTTTAGCTGACAAGACGGCTGAACAGCAAATTGAAGTCAATAGAAACCTTGTTTTAGAAAGGCAACTCGAGAAGTGTCAGCAGAATGAGAAAAGGCTCAATTCTTTCATTTCACAATTTCAAATGTGTTCCAGCAGTCTCCAGGAAGTTGCACAAAAGACCGAATATTTTATAGAACATGTTGGAACACAAATGGAGGAGGCCTTCAAGAAACTTGCCACATTTTCTCAGCGTATTAGCTTTGCAACTGGGAGAGTTCAATTTCTTCAAGGTGATATGCACGTTTCCATAATTTAGAAATATTTTTAATTTCTTGTGGAAATAACTGGGGGAAAAGATAAACGCTTCCTCTCTAAAGTTACTATTCAAGCTGTATAATAAACAAAATGCAATAGAGGTTGTGTTACATAACCTCTCATTTAACTGTGGAGAAAAACTTCTCTAGAAAGGATGTATCCAGATAATTAAGAGTCATAGGACAGAGAAAAATAGAGTTAAGTTTGTAACCTCACTTCCCACCAACAACTCATGAAAATGCTTCAAAGATGTGAGGTTGCAAGAAAGAAATTTATAGATAATCCAAATAAAACAGGAGCCCTCTTAATATGCTCCAATTCTGTTTCTATCTGGAACACATTTCATTACCAGTTGGTTTCAAAACCAACATTGTAAGTAGCCACATTTTGGTGTTAATTATTAGAAAATGTGTTAATATAAGCAAAAAACAAACAAACAAACATTATAATGTTAGGACTGTTTCCTTATATAGGGCTTCTAACACATCGTGAGGCACAGTTGAGAAGTGAACTATCAGAAGCAGTTACTAAAGCAGCTGAAACTGGGCAATCAATATCAGAAGGTATGTACAAAATAACTCATTAAGTCTTCCATAGGTTTTTTCTTAAATCTTTTTATTGCTGGTGCTATATATTATTTGTTTTGACAGGCTCTCTTGATGCATCCTTAATTTTTCAGGAGAGATCACAGAACAACCACAGGCAAGTCTGTCATGTGAACAATTGGTATCAGAGGTCAAACAGCTAACAAGAGAAAGGGACCATCTTTTAGCTCAAGCCAGGAAGGATTCAGAGACTTTAGAGAGAAAAGAGGTGGTAATTAGAGCTCAGTATGAAGAACAACTGAATGACTCTGCCATGAAAATATCACAGGTAATAATCGTGTTCTGGTGAGAACCCTATGAAGAAGTATCCAAGGCCAAAAGTAACAGACTGTCTACCCCAAAGTTTACTTTTAACCTGTTCTAGACTCTTGTTTTGAAGGAGATGCCAGTAGAACAAAAAAAAGGGAGAGAGAGAAAAGCAAAAGCAGGAGGCAAAGGAGAGTGTTAGAGACACTCCTTTCCAGACTCTTGCTGATTTTTTGTTTCCTTACTTCCTCTTTTTCATTCATCTCCATTTACTGAAGGCCTGGCACGGTCTATTTAAATGAGAGAATGCTTGATCACAATTTGTATTCCCTCAAATGTTCATGAAATATGTTGATGAAAATTATAAATTCTCTATGGGTGTGTTAGCTTGAACTATTATTCTTTGACTAAGACAAATAATTGGAAATAGACTTAAATGGGATCAATATCAGTATCTGGGCAACTGCCCACCTACCCCTCCCCTAACCCAACATTAACCTTAACTTGTCATCAATTGACTGTTGTTGAGTTAGGGGAGGGGTAGGTGGGCAGTTACCTAGATACTGATATTGATCCCTTGAATGTAAGCCTCAGGTTTTCCTGTAGCCTCTCTATCTGTCTCTCAACCCTTAAATCCCTAAGATTGACAAGCATCTAATTTCTCTGTACATAATCACTCCTAAATCAATCATTAAGGTCACAAGAATAAAGGAAATGATCACCAACTAATGAACTAATCTTGATTGTTGAACAGATTCTCCTTCTTGGCACCCTAGGAAATGTACAGAGAATAGAATGGAGAATATGCATACTGATGCTAGAGTGTCAAGGGTTAATATAAATTAGGAGACCAAGTCCTCTCCAATATTTTCCAAGCAATGAGTAATATGAAGTCATCTGAATAAGTACAATTGAAATCACCTGGAATGTTATATTTCTTCAGTTGGAGTCGTTCTTGAAGGATGAACGAGAACGAGGAGCCATCCTTAATGACAAGTTGCAAACTGCTGAAGTTGAATTGTCAGAGAGATTGGAGACAATTGAATCACTTAAAACAGAAATGGCAAAACATAAAGATGTGGCTGAAAAAAGTAAGTATGAGGTTTTTAGATGCTTGTGTCTAAAAAAAAAATAAAATGTTAACCCATTGACTATTCTAGATAAAAGCCTGTTAACATGCTTAAGCAACAGACAGTTTATGGCTTTACTCATTCTCCAGCTCTAGACAAAGTTTTACAAGCAGAGCAAGCAAGATACACCGAGGAATTTGCAAAGCTTGAAAAGCAATTCAATGATGTGCGACGTGAACACACAAAAGCTGTTGTGGCACTCAGGCAAGCAGAGCGAGTGGTTGAAAGAGAGAAGGAAAAGGCAGCAGAACAGCTCTCTCTTCAGCAGAAGGAACATGAAATGAAACTGGAGAAATGCTGCTCACAACTGCACAATGTGGAAAAGGAGAGAAATATGCTCGTGGCTACAGTCAGACAGGAGGGTTTCAAGGTTCCCAGACATAAACCAAGGGAGTTTTCTGGTGAGAATTGGACAAAATCCCTCTACACCCTAGCATTAGTAGTCATATTCTCCACACTGTTCTCGATACATTTCTTGTGGGACTGACAAGGAGAATTTGTCAACAATCAGGAGATTTGTAAATTGCATTTGATTCATGGCTGATACTTTAGGGAGAAATTGGAAGCCAGTCATTCTTAGGGGTTAGAGGGAAACATTGCCAAAATGTTATAAGGAAGAAAACAAAGAAAAAAAAGTTTACCCCTAATGATATGTTTTGCAAGTCCCCATTATGAGAGATTTAATATTTACATAGGGTAGATGTGAATAGAACTCAAGCAAAGACAGGTCTAGCCATGGAAAACTAGAAATAACTGACAGAGATATAATTTTTCCTTACAATATCAAGATGTGTAGCATATCAAGCAGACTAGTGATGAGAATAAAGAAAAATGTTAATAAGGGGATTATTAGTTGATCCAAAACCAAATTCCCCAAAAAAACATCATAAGAATTATATGGCAGACCATAATCAGCATTTTAATACATTATTAAAATTATGAGGTCTTGGGACAGGTATGGACCCGATTGAAATCAAGAATTCAGTTTATATCTGTTAAAACCCAATAAAGTGATGTTATAATTATCATTAGTAGTATCATTGTTATTACTATGACTATTATTATTATTATTATTATTATTATTATTAAAGGGTTGACATTTTTTTTCTCCCAATCTCTGTGCAGTAGTAACTGATATTCATTTAAGTACATGAAGTTGATCCAAGTTCTCAATGAGGATGTATAACTTCACCTATGAACTAAAGGTGTTTTACACAAATGCTTACTGTTCCTTGCTATTGTTCTCTTTGACAGATGGTCTGGAGGAGGAAGAGAAAGAAAACAGAGAGCAAGTGCCTCTTGATGAGAAACCGCCCATAAAAACCAGTAGAGGAAAGACTAGAAGACACAAGGCTGCAAAACCTGTTCAATCTGAACCAGGAATTCCATCTACTGCAGCAGTACAAAGAGAAAGACAGAACATCCATGTTACAGAAGGTGGAGCTGATGAAGAAATTAATTTGATGCAGGTGACATCTGTGCTGAAAGACCTTCAGTCACTCTCAACTGCTCTGCTGAACATGGACAGAGAGACTGATGATTCTCAACATTCATTGTAAATGAGATTTTTTAATATGTGAATGGACTTCAGTTTTGGGAAATAAAAGTTTTAAGTATGTTTATAATAGACAGAAATACATTACTGCATGTTTATGACTCCCAGATTTAACAGTAAAGGGTCCAATGGGAATGTCCATAGCTTTTCTATCAAAACTTCAGTTAACATAAACCCAGGTGATATCAAATTTAAATCAGACTTCATAACAGTGGTATATTTGTTTGTTATTTAAGGGGGCAGTGTTGTAATTGATAAAGTCATTTTCAACATCATAGAAAAAACCCTCAAAGTTTCTCTCACAATCCACAGCAAGGGGAATGTCATGCTTGTGTGCTCAATCCCTATTTTAGTTCTGACAACAATGTATGGTACATTAAATTGCCTCAATTCTCAGATCATCACTTGTATAAAGAATTAAGGATAAACCGAAATGGAGTAAGGGTGATAGAGGATTGGAAATATTAGATAGGATTGGAAAACTAACACAAACTTAACCTGTTAGCCCCTAAGAGTGACTAGCATCTAATTTCTCCTTACCATATCACCCCTGAAACAAACATGAATGTCATGAGAATAGAGGAGATGATCACCAACTAAAGGAGGTCTTGATTGTGAAACAAATTCTCCTTGTCAGCCTCTTTGGAAATGTATGGAGAACAGTATGGAGAATATGCATACTGATGTTAGGGTGTAAAGGGTTAAGACTTAATGCTTCATTATGGGTAATGTCAAACTTTGGCTAACTTTGAAGTTGACAATGGAACAACATGGTTACAGTTCACATACATTTGTGTACATTTTTATAACTAATAATATCAACCAAAAGACTTTGTTTGGAACCCTTTATTTCTTGGAAGTACTTTTAACATATACAAGTTCAAAATACTAACAGTGACAGCAGGACCTCTTAATGCTTTCCAGTAAGAAGTGAAGCCAAAAGTTACAAATTAACCTGTCCACAAGAGCTAAAATTCCCTTGCCTCTTAAATTAATTCATAAATTGATTCTACACTACTAGCAAGAAACCACACAGTAAAGCCTGCTATAAGGTTTCCAAAACGGTTAAAAGTGTTCTACTTCTTTAAAAGTTCCACAATTTTTTCTGCCAAGGGTGTTGCAGAGGCAGGATTTTGCCCGGTTGCCACTCTCCCACAGGCACTGACAGAGACACAAGGTTGCCATGCCTCTGCATTTTCAAATTCTGCACCATGTTCTTTGAGCTTGGTTTCCAAGAGAAATGGCATGGCTTCCACCAGCTTCATCACGCCTTCTTCATGGTCAGTGAAACATGTCACTTTCTTGCCTTTCACAAGGTATTCACCATTTGATAACTTTGTGTTTACAATACCTGCAGAGGAATCGAATAACATGAAATCTTTCTATGATGGACAATTCTAATTCCTCTTCAAATACCAACTTATTATTGGGTTTATGGTTGAAGACTTCACTTGCCTTACATTCACATCCATATGTGATTAACATTTACTGATATAGCTAAATCTGGTTGATCTTGCTGAAGGCCAAACACTGTACAGAGATTTATACTAATGGGGAGCCATCACTTCAAATTTAGATCTGCTTCTGATAGCAGAGAGTTAAAGAATAGATTATTTATTACATCTCCGTCCACTAAGTTCCAAAAATTCTGAACTGAAATCTTTCCCCTCTATTTAAACACAGATATAATAGATATCCTGTTACCCTCCTTCTCAGTCTGTAATGTAAGTTGGAGAACCTCCCTTGAACTTATAGTCTGTTCATTTCACACTTTGGCAATAAATCCAAGCAGAAATAAATCAGCCCATAACTGACATTTCAGACCTCAAACTTTGTAAAAGGTATGGCAATCATTATTTCACGTACCAGCAGGACCGTGGCAAACTGCAGCAACAATCCCTCCTTTCTCATAAACTGTTGCCACAGCTTTGTTGCTGACTTCACAGTCTGCTAGATCAAACATTGGTCCATGACCACCAACATAAAAGATAACATCAAACTTGGCTGGATCAACAGAGGCAATGGTAGAAGTGGTTTCAGTGGCTTTCATTCCGTCACTCTTGAGGAATTCTTTGCAGACTGGGTCCTCTGCAAATGCATCAAGACTGCTCTTGTCCTTAGTGAAGAAACGAAAACCAGCTAACTTAAAAAATTTAGACTAGTGCTTTACTTATGCATGGCAATGCTCTGAATCAATGTGTGGAGATTTACCAGGTTAGACTGATAAATACATTTTTCAGGAGCTTAAAATTCAAACACATAATGTTACCTTGGCACATTTCATACTAAAAAACAATAAAAGAATTTTGGTAAATGACTGAGCAACATAAACTAGTTTTCTCTTGAATAACTTGAGGGCATGCTGAAAGAAGTCTTATAGACAAGCTGTGAAACCTTTTAAAATATCTAATGATGGTTTATTCATATTATTTTCTATGCCTAATTCCAACTCAGTTATAACACATATCTATATACTCTTTTGTATCTATACTATATCTCTGTTTTAACCCTTTAAGAGTGACCAAGATAGAGTTTCTCCTCACAATATCCATACAATATCGAGCAGACCAGTGATGAGAATAAAGAAAAATATCAATTAGGGGATTACTAATTGTTCCAATACCTAATTCTCCAAACTAATATCATTCAAGTTGTATAGCAGACAGTAAGGAGAATAACTAATGGATTTGGGAGTGAAAGAGTTAAAGTCTATGCAAGGATGTGCCCCAGACCAGAGAAAACCTGTGTTGTTTGGTTAGGAAGGAAATGTTAAGCATTAAAAAGTGTACTTAGGATGGATGAGAGACAGAGAGATGCTGAGGTGAGAAAAATTTTTTTACACTCTCCTCTCTCCTACCCTTTGCTGCATTGAAACCCCCCCCCCCTCCCTACTCCACTTTCCATTCTGGTTTCCTTTACTTTTTTGGCCATGAAAGTTTATCAGGAACCCAAGATAGCAGCGAAATACACAGAAAACGCGATTAACAGCCACCCACTCAAGACTTCAACACCACAGGCAAGCTCTATGCAACAGTTAAATCTTTATTGAACTTACCAAGGGTGCCTTTCCTCCCTTTGGGCTAACCATTGTCATACTGTACCCTGCCTCCTTGAATACATGGTAAGGGTGAGCCAATTCTGGAAGATACCAGCCAGTCTTTTTCCCAGTGTTTCCCATGTCTTCATGGTTTGTAAGAACCAGTAATACTGCAACCATTGTGCTAAGTGTGATGAAGAAAGAGAAGGTAAATAAATCCCCACATGAATAAATTTCAAGTCCAAAAAGAAAAGAAGCTTTCAATATTATGAAAAGTGGTTGAAAAGGTACATAGAAAAATGCAGTACAAGACTTCTGATGGACTAGATTCCCCCTTTAAATTGTCCTAGATTCCTTTATGAAACAGGGAGAATTTAATTTTGCACCAAATGCTACAAAGGGATTTATTCCTTTCACCCTTTGATTTAATTATTTCAAAATTCTCACTCAATCATTTGCTTTAATTATCATAATTAAATCATGGCTTTGTGCATCAGCACATTAACAAGAATATATTAAAAATTGTTGCATAATCATTATTTACCCACTCTAAAATTAATCAAGGTAGAGAAAAACTATGCAAAACAATCTAGTTACAACCAGAAATAGTTTGTTGTAACCATCTAACTTTCCATATATAAATTCATTGCAAATTGAATTTAGGTGAAAATTTGGAATCCAGGCTTTACAAAGAGCAGTCTGCACACACAAGGATTACCAAACAAACATCTTCAATGATCCTACCGCTTCATTGTTAAATTGCACTCACTGTCGGCAAGGGGTGCCCTACTAATAAGTCACCCTCTAGGCAGAGAGCGATTGTATTCAAGTGTCCCTTACCAATTTAATTAGTTTTCCTGACAGCTTTGTTTTCTATTCAAGATAATAACTGACATATTTTTATTACCATTAGTAACTGTAAAAAAATATTATAAATACTCTCAACGCGTAGAAATAAAGAAATATGCAGCACTGTTGCAGAACAATAACTTGTTTTAGAGCTGAAAACGACAGAAATCAACTAGGGGCTAACTGTACCATAGCTAAATTTTCGCAGACACTTATTCTGCATGGCTACTGATGAAATGTGAATTAGATAGAGGTGTTTTCATAACAAGCATCTCACAAGCGTTCGATGACTACTACTTCACTCAAGCCCAACTCGACTATGAACTAAATAAATAAGACACTGAAATCTCTCTTTACGAATCTTGAAGGTGTTCACGGAAAGTCACGAATAGCGAATGATCTGAGACATGAATGTTGCAAGCAACATCCTATGTAACAGTTTGAAAGCTTCAATAAAAAGTTCTTTGTACTCAAAGAATTACTGCTCTATGTTTGTCCCATTTTCAGGTGTTATGTTCTAAGGAGTACTTGAAGAAAAGGTCAAAACCGAAGTCGTCACCGGGTCATTGATACCTGTTAACAAAACAGCTAGCGAACTTGATGTTTCGCGGACTGTTTCGCGCCCAACCGTGAAGAAATTACGGCAAAACTGTTTTCGCAGATTATTAAGTCTCTTCAAAAATTCAAAAATCTTATACCAAATTCTGCTTATTCAGCGATCAGGTTGTTTAAAGCTTCCGAGCAGTATGGTTGGAAAAACTCTTCGAAGTTTAGTGTTGGTCTCTCTCGTATGACTCGGCATAATTTGGCATGCGTGCCGTGAGCGTAAAAGGTAGTTTCTTTCCGGAAGCTTAGCTATATGCAAAAGGAGAGCAAGTATCACCTGATAATTTGAGCGTAGTTTCCTGGTGGAAAGTCAACGAAAGTTGTTCCTCAAGTAAAACTTGGAACTGTTTGTGCTGGAGTCCGTTCTGCTCGTGGCACCCCTGGGAAGGTTGCGTGACAAATAATTCGTGAACCGGAGGAAAATTTGAGTGGAATGGACTAGAGAGTATGGAACGGAAATTTAATTCTTGCGAAGAAGAGAAGCAGTTTGCCAAAAAATCTTATACAATCAACAATGTGTTTGAACTGAGAGATGAATCGCTCTAGGGAAAAGGACCACATATTGGTTTGTTCAACATTGCAATAACATATTTCCAAGGGATTAAGAGGGAGAAACATTTCTTCAAGTTGGTGTATCTTCAACCATAGGAAAATAAGTGTAAGCAACTTTTCACTGGAAGAACTTAATGAAGGTCTCCTGAAAACATTGCTCATTTAACTTAAAAACTTAAAAAAGGCAGAAGAATGTTGGATGCTACCCCTCAATGCCCAAGGGTATCAAATTTTTGTGGGTTCTAATTTGGTTGAATTGTTCCCAATATGGTAAAATAAGTTCCTGCTGCAAAAAAATTCCAGCTAAATTAAATGTTGCCAATACAGTTCCTCCAACAGTCACTAAAAGAGTTTGCTTTTAACAAACTTGTATTCCTGGGGTGATACATTCAGGGATATATCAGTCATAACACAACATAATAATGAACACTGTTTACCTGTTGTGCATGGTAAGGGATAGGGAAGCACTTTAGCTGATCTCATAATATGATAAAAATTCTTTCATGCCTACAAAACCAGCACCTTTTAAAATCAGAATAATTTATTTCAAGTTTCAAACTCTTCATTAAAAGCTTCAGCAAAGGCTTGGTGGAGATAGAGGTCTTCGAAAAATTTTCTCTTTCTTTGAAGTCTTCTCAATGCTATGGCACTTTTCCCTGATGAAGGATAAAATTTGAAAACAAGAGAAAGAACATAAATCAAGAGACCATTCAGAACTAACTTGCAGTCCATAGAATTCTAAAACTTTCATTTAAGTACCAAGCTACCTTGTTTACTTGAATATGGCCTCAAATTAACACTCTTTAATTTTTCCTTTATGTTCACACTAGTGTACATTCATCTTTTCTTACCTTCAGTAACTAGATCAACATGGGATGGTCGTGTTGATGTGAGCCCTCTATATGTTAGTTTCACAAGAATGCCTTTACCTTGACCCTGTACAGCCTGACAAATGAGAATAAAAGATTACATTTTGGAAACCATTATAGTGGTTAGACTGATGATAGTTACATTGTTACAAACAATTGTAAAGCCCTTTTACATTGAGTTTAATTTATAAGACCCAAACTAAAGTAATCATAACAGCCAGTTGGAAGGAAAGGAAAATATCACAAAATCCAATGAAACTCAAAGTAAAATCAGGCAAGCTACCTGAAGTGCTGAAAAAATTGCAGCTGATCAAGTTGTGATTTGTTTGAAATCGATTCGTCAAGATGTTGGCACAAGTTTTCCAGACCAAATAAAGAGTACAGTTAAACTTAAAGAAATGCAATCCTGGATTAAACTTAGATTCTCACAAATTGCACAACTGTTTGGCAGTAACATGCTTACCTTTAATTTCAACATCACAAAATCATGCGAGGGGCTGCAAGATATCTCTCCTTCCAGTTTATCTCCATGCTGCTCTTGACAAAGGCAAACCTATGATCACACAAAACATCAGATGAAGGCCTCGCTAATAAAAATATCAAATCATTCAAGATGCTACTGAAGACAACATGTACTGCTACAATCACATTGATAACACTTTGTGGTTTTCATTATTGACCATGGACCCCCTGGGAGTGAATCACATCTAATTTCTCTCTAGAATATCACCACTGAATCACAAATTAAGGTTGAGAGAATTGAGGAACTGTTCACCCAGAACAGAAGCACTTGATTGTTAAAAAATTCTCCTTGTTGGCAAACTTAAGAAACATGGAGAACAGTATGGAGAATATGCATACTGATGTGACGGCGTAAAGGGTTTATAACATAGTATCCAGGGAGTCAAGATTTTTGCTTACCTGTTCTCTTCTTGCCACAAAAGCATTAAGATGCTCACAAATGATCATGAAAAACCTCTAAAATGATTTAAAAAGGTAGCATAAACATTATACTGGAGAAAAATCAAATTGACCAAATGTTTCTTTGTAGAAGCAGGGAAATAATTTGGAGAACCATTAAAACCAAAGTAGAAAGAAACTATCAAACGATCTGCATGGAGCAACTATATAGCAGCACAGCCTGAGCTCTTGTCAATCTACTTGCAATCAATACAACAACATCAGGACATGACTTTGCAAATTATTCCCCAGTAACAATCGATACCCCATATTACAAAGGAGAGAGAAACTCTAGAACTAAAATATATACTTAGATAAAGGCAGTAATCATTGAGATCTTTTATTTTCTATGCCAACCAAGTTTACTAATAATAATGGAGTACACATTTCACTCTGAATAGACCTTGAGAGCTAATTTTAGTAAACCGTTTTTTTTTAAATGATCTAAACAATGTGCAGACAGAGATATCTTGAGAAAAAAAACATTGGCAAAAGTATAGATACAAGGTACCTTGATGTCAGTGTTTAAATACTGCTGACTAATTGCATCAACAGGTATGAAGTAAGGTACAGTGTGCTTGTGAATCTAAAAGTTATAATCAAATAAACCAACAAAATTGGAAAAAAATCTAAAGAAGGAAATCCTTGGTCCTTTGATACAAAGAATACTGACTATATAAAGGGAAATTTCAAACACATAGTGTTAAAAAAGAACCTACAACTCCAGGTTTACAGTAAGATAAAATAGAGGTAAGGCTTGGTTTCAGCCAAGTGAAGGAGAAGAGATCCAACACCAGTTTTTAGTTCTCTAAAAGTATACTTTGTGTACAGTACCCCCAGTATAACATACGCATGTGGTGTGAATGACAGAGAGAAGATTATGCAAATAGAACTTAACTCCTAGAAATTGTTTTGTACTTTTAAACTCACCTTTAAATTATTGTCTTTCAACTCCACTTCAAGGTTATACGGTTCATAGTATCTAGCTGAGGGTTGATATATAGCATTAAAATTTGACATTTAAAGTGTGACAACACAAATCTCTGGACTTTCCTTGCTCATCAATTGAATCAGAAGTTATTTGGGCAGGTTATTCCTAAATAAATTCATAATTTAATCTGAACATCAGTAGGCCTGCAAGTCTCACAGAGACTTATTTTAATTAATTAATTAGTCAGTAAATCAGTGCTTAAATCAGTCTGTGGCCCACTAACAGTTAGTTAGTGGGCCACAGAGTCAATTATTCTGTAATTCAGCAAATTGGCCAGTCAGCAAATAGGTCATTCATCCTGTTTTAATGAGTCGGTGAAACAGCAAGTGATTGTGTGAATCAGTCAGTCAGTCCGTTTCAAGGAGACAGTGAGACAGTAACGGACACTCAGTGAGTGAGTAAAGTAGTCAGTAGTAAGCAGGACTGATAAGTCAGTCAACAGTAAATCAATCTGTGATTAGGTCAGTTGGAAAGTGAATCATTTAGTCATTGCAATCCCAACATGTTGCACTGCATATTCCAGCTTAGTAACACTAACAACACTTCAACTTACAATTGAAAAAGGTCTCAAATCTGAAGCAAGTTCTCTTCGCTTTTTGTGATACTATTGAAATACCCATCAACCTGTAGCTGTCACAAAGATCAGCCAGCTGAAATAGAAGTTTCCATAGTTGAAAACCATCAATGAGAATTCAAGGTATTTCCTTTCTATCTATACATCTCACAGAGGTGAAACAGCTGATAAACAAAAGTTTCATAGTTCAGAAACTAGAAGTTTTGGGAGATACCCTTTCCTCACTAGACAATTCCTTCCTGTGATCAGCCACATAGCTTTTGCATTTCAGTTAGCTCCATTTAAGAGGTTTGATTCTATTTATTTGCAATTACACACCAAATGTGGCGTGAGTGTTGATTAAGGATTCTGTGAATAAATATTTAAACATATTCTAAGCCTGAGGGGAGTAATGTAATTAGTATAATTTCTTGTACAATTTTCAAAGCAACTGCACTTTCTTTTAGTCCCTCTTTTACAAACATAACACAAATCCTAAGGTGGCCATTGTAAAAACACTTCTTTAGTAATGTAATCACCTTGTATGGGGTGCTTATGGGAACAAATAATATTATTCTTGACCAGTAAGAAACCTTGTATCTCTAGATTCACCTGAGCTATAATTGAACTTAATCTTTTTTCATTTTCTTACCTTTCTTTTACGGAACAACCTCACAGCTGTCAGGACATTCTAATCATTAAAATAAAATTGAACTAGTATGAAAAATTGTATTCAGTGATTGTCTAAACAGAGTATTTTGATAGGATTCTTTCAACTTCTGAAAAATATTACTATTATTAAAATATTATGTTTCTTGAGATATTCATTGAAAGAGGTGAACCCCATCAAAGTGAGGTGTTAAATGTTAAGTTACAGATCAGTATCATTGCTACGTAATATGAATTGAAAGACACATGGAAACAATTAACACCTCATAAACTAATCTAAGTGTAAACAACAAAACCCATTTGAC